AAGTCATAATGATATTAAAGGGAACATATCTTATTGTCTAGAATGAGGAAAGGGAGTCAGTATCAAGAAAGTTTACGGTTAAAGAGTGCTGTGCAGAGATGGAATACATAAGTGGAACTCTACTTTTCATAGTTGGGAGATTTTGAAATAAATTTAACACATTTCGTTAGCTAAGTTTAATGGTTGATACAGACATAAAAGACCATCTCTCATGTCTAGCTCATACATGGAATGAGATGAGCTGCTGCCTAACCCAATAATGAAAATGTTGACAGGCAGTATTACCAGCAAAAAAATCAATTTATCCTATAGTAATGAGCATGTAGAGGCAGTGGGCAATGTTCAAAGTTATTTTAGATTGAAAATAAAGCTGAGAATCTATAAAACTCTATATGTTTACAAATGAAAAAAGCTTTTGAAATAGTGCTTGAAGAACCAAGACTTGACAGAAATTGACTTGTTCATCTGTAAGGGACAAGTTGAAAGAACAAGAAAGATACAGACAATCCTCAAAGACACAGGTATTACTGCACTTGAAGAACATGCAGTTTCTACATGGCCTAGCTGACAACATTCTCAGCCTGGCACTGTTCAGTTCCATGTTTGAGGTCAAATTGCCTGTAATGTTGTTCAAAGACCTTAGGACAAACATCATACCAATACCCTTAATTTATAATCTGAATGATATTTACACATTTACTGATTAAAATTTGATTTCTAGCCTCTCCCCTTCAGCATGATTACTGGTAACTTCAGCTCATGCATGTAATTCTTTCATTTATGAAATACTGCTTAAATCCATAAAAAAATATTTTCTCAGAAACATAAAAAATACATTTTCTCAGAAAATGCAGATGTGCAGTTAACAGTCATCCTATGTAAATCTCAGTGTTATTTTATTTAACCCTTTAATGTCATCAGTTGTCAAGGGACTAGGATGGATTGACGCTATTCTTGTTTATTTTTTGGCTGTGCTGGGTACCCACTGCTGTGTGGGCTTTCCTCTAGTTGTGTTGCGCTGCGAGGTTCTCATCGTGGTAGCTTCTCTTGTTGTGGAGCATGGGCTGTAGGGCTTGCTGGCTTCAGTAGTTTTGGTTGATGGTCTCAATAGTCCCAGCTCCTGGGCTCTAGAGCACAGGCTCAGTACTTGTGGCTCCTGGGCTTGGTTGCTCTGAGCCGTGTGGGATCTTCCTGCACCAGGGATCGGGCCCACGTCTCCTGCATTGGCAGGTGGATTCTTTACCACGGAGCCAGTAGGGAAGCCCGGATTGACATTATTCTTAATCTGGATTATGATAGTAAACTGAGTGGAAGTAAAATCCACTTTTCTTACATTAATAACTTTGCATGAAGGTTCACTCATTGTCTTAAGTCATATATGAAAAATTTCAAATATACAAACTGTCAAGATCAATGAACCTATTGTGTTAACATCTTCATAAAATAATAACTAAGTCCCAGAACCTTAGAAAAACTCCTGGTTTAGTGGTTCCCAGACTTTTAGATTTCATGGAGCAGTTAAAGTGGGAGTTAATATGGGGCTGTCAACATTTTATTTTGCCAAGAATATTGAAACCAACTAATACTACTAACAATAGCATTTCATAAAACAATACTTCAATACCATAAAAGTAGGGATTAATCATGTAATAAAAATGGAGTTCGGGTTGATCATCTGTCAACCTTTTTTTTGCCCCTTTAGGGATGCTGAAATTTTAGTTGTAGCCTAGAATTGGGGAACAAATGCCTAACAGGCCATTTTGTCCATCTGTTCTAATTAAAAGGCTAAGAGGTGGCTTTGCCTGACATCAGTTGGTGTTAAAATTGGGGAGGAAAAGCATAGCTCCTGACAACTTGTAGAGTAAAATACCCTGACAGATACCCAAGCATTAAACAGTTGCTAATTAGGAGGAACCATAACCAATTTAAAAAGTTATGTATTTATTTGGCTGAGCCAGGTCCTACTTGCAGTGTGCAGGTTCTTTAGTTGTGGCATGTGGGATCTTCTACTAATAGTTGCTGTGTGTGAATTCTTAGGTGAGGCATGTGGGATCTAGTTCCTTGGCCAGGGATTGAACCCAGGCCCCCTGCACTGGAAGTGTGGAGTCTTACCCACTGGACCACCAGGGAAGTCCTACCAATGTTCATCTTAAAATCTTTGATAACTGATATAAAATCAAATAAATCCACCTACTTGGTAGAAAGAATTGGTATACTGACTGCACCTGTTATAATGTCAAGGAAAATAACCCCAAGTCATAAATTATCATAATAATATAACCTATGTCATAGATGATATAATCCAGACTGTGAGCTTTTAATTCTATAAAGTGTTTTGTTCTCAATTACACAGTCTATAATAAATGCTTACTAAATATCTGTATGAATAGGTGTATATCACTCTAAATAGCTGCAAAACAATTTCTTCATAACATTAGAAACTTCCCAACCTGGCAGATTCTTACTGCAGAAATCCATCAAACATAAATGATATAAAGAAAAAAAGATGGTGATGGTATGGGGGAGTCCCACTTGCTTGATCTCTAATCAAAGGAAAAAGCAGTTAGAAGTTTTAAGGTGTTTAAGTGAGAGCAGTAACTGTATACAGCACTTACTTTACTTTGTAGGTTAGTAACATGAAAAGGTTTTAAAATCCTAAAGGAATTCTAGTTCAAAAGCATGTAATAGAATTTTACATGACCCTGGAACTACATTTATCTAATTAAATGCTACAGTAGATCTGCCTTTCACAATAAGGTCATCATTTCCAATTTTACCATAAACATACTCACCCACCTATACCATTCATAAAGTTTTGAGAATTGGCACTAGTTTTTTTTTCCTCCCACTAGCTATAAAAATGCATGACTCATAATTTATCATTTTAAATTCAAAATTAAGACTACAGAAGAATTCACTGGTGGTCCAGTGGTTAGGACCCACAACTTCCACAGCAGGGGGCACGGGCTCAATTCTTTGTTGGGGAACTAAGACCCCACATGCCATGGCCAAAAAAATAATACAGCTTAGTCTGTTTAAAGGATGTCCTTTCATCAGTAAATCTGGGAGCTCATAGATGTATTTTTCTTTAAAGCAATTCACCTTTAAAAGTATGATGCTATTGCTGACCTAGTCATACTTATTAAAAAAAGGGGGGGGAGGGGCATGAAAAGATGCATCCTAAGAATTTTACAGGTAGAATCAGTTTGTAGTACTATTACCAAAGCTCTGCCTCTCTGTACAACTGGTGCCACTCAAACCCCAGAGATGGTTTTGGATGTAGTAGAAAGGATGACTTTTATTGTTTTACCAGGCAAAGGGAGACAAACCTGGCCTCACCCTTGAAACACTGTCTCAACTGAAGAGCTTGATGAGGGTTTTTCTAACAGTGGATCAAAGGTGGTCTCTAAGGGACTCCTAATCTTGATGACTATGCCAAAGCCTTTGACTGTGTGGATCACAATAAACTAGAAAATTCTGAAAGCGATGGGAATACCAGACCACCTGACCTGCCTCTTGAGAAATCTGTATGCAGATCAGGAAGCAACAGTTAAACTGCACAAGGAACAACAGACTGGTTCCAAATAGGAAAAGGAGTATGTCAAAGCTGTATATTGTCACTGTGCTTATTTAACTTATATGCAGAGTACATCAGGAGAGACGCTGGACTAGATGAAGTACAAGCTGGAGTCAAGATTTCCAGAAGAAATATCAATAANGGTAAACTCCAGAGTTGGTGATGGACAGGGAGGCCTGGCGTGCTGTAGTCCATGGGGTAGCAGAGTTGGACATGACTGAGTGACCGAACTGAACTGAATCTTGATGAGCTTCTTTGCTCCCTTTAATCTTGCCTCAGGTGATTTCTTGGTTGCTCTTCTCTTGATTTGCAACTGTTCAAATCCACCCTTTGGGACTCATGGAAGGTCATAATGGCGGGCATCTTGCCTAATAAGAAATGGGGGACAGAAAGGCCTGGGAGAAAGCCCCACACGGTCCCACTCAGTTTCAGTAACTTTAGATTTTGTGAAGATGTGTCTTGAAGACAAGTTCAACTAAGTCACGTGCACTACTTAAAAATTGGCACACACAATTTTGGGATCAACTCTATCTATTGTAATATACAAAGCCATGTTAAAAAAAGTACCAATGACCATATTTAATACAAGAACACTGATGTTTGGTTTCACTGACTCCTGTTACTTCCAAGGAAATTCTGGGTTCTACCAAGTAGAAACATGACTGATTACTACTGAGAATTCAAGCATCTGCAAAGAAACGAGTTTACCTGTTACCTTTGTCAATTTCCAACTATGTCTGCCTATATATGTGTGTGTGTATACATATATATATATAAAAACTATTCCTGTCTTCATTATTTTATTGCTCCTAATTATTTTTTCATATTTTTTTCTAAATCAGCAATGAAATGCAAAGTTACTGGTCTGTCTTTGAAGAATATTACATAAACAAAAACTTGTCTTCAAATTTTTGCTTTTAAGATTATATAATTTAAAAAAGGATATGATTCTTATTTTTCTCCCCAAAATAGTTTTTTTTGTATCCATATGCCTGGTGATTTAAAATGAGGGAATAAAAACCTTCCCATGCCTTTGATCTACACTCATCATCACTATTTCTGCCAAGGATGTGTGTTTAGCATTCAAGAGACTTGGCATTATGTGCCCCAATTCCTTCAGTGTCCCCAGTTCAAGTGCTTGCCACTCCTTGGTGAGAATTCTGGAACATAACATCTTAAGACATCCTTCATGACAACTTAAAATCTCTTATTAATTTGATCTAAGTTTCCACTATTGGTTTCCTTAATGGATTGATTAAATATCCAGGAAGATGAATACAAAAAAGTTACTGTCCCTTTATTACTGACCTGGCCCACTTATAATTAAGCAGAATTAACATTCAAAGTTCATTTTGATTGAAAACACAGGAACTGTATTTTCTTAGTATCAGTACTACAATCAAGAAGAAAACCAAGGTCATAATAGTTTTTCCTAGATTGTTATTAGGAGATTAATGTAGCTTAATCACACCCATTTTACTTTCTAGGCTAAGTAATATTAAATGGTGATTAATTCTTCTTTGAAACTTACAAGTACAATCTGCACATACATGATTTTGAGAATAATTTAATACGTTAACTTTGACATACAACTATATTCTAATGTCAGTTTTAACTGTAAAGAAACATATCCTTACAAGACCAAAATAACCCACAGGCCATGAGATTGGTGTTTTGTTTTTCCTTTTTTGTTTCAAGAGATGTGCACCACAATGGTTCCACATGTAAGGCAAATGCCGTGAATATGAAAGCTATAGTTTACCACACATCTAGAACCCAGGGGAGGTGAATTAGATGGAAGTGGTAGTCATTCTAATTAAACAATCAGGAAACATCATGACAACTTGGTTTGCAGCATCAAAAGTGTCCATTTAAGTATCTTTTTTCTTAATGATCAGAGGTCCCACGTTGTCTCCAGTTTCTTCATTGTGTTTTGTGTGAGATCCATCACAGAGTGGGAACTAGGAAGAGAAAGAATGTGAAATGTCTAACTGCAAAATCAGTATTATGTTTGGCAGAGTAGGGTGACACTTAATTCACATGTATAACTCGATATCTCAGTAGACTTTTCTTGGCTACCTTAGAGATGGTTTTCTGAATGAGCATATGTAAAGTGAACATACTAAGGAGGAGGAAGAAATTGACTTGTGGATAAAACACATTAACTGCATTTCCATTTGTGATATCTGCTCATGGATGAGAAAAACCTTTTTAATGTTTATGTATTAGTCATATTTCCTTTCTAGTGAATAGTATCCCTGACCTATCTACTGGAAAGAGTCTAAGTTCATAATTTGTTCAAAATCAATCTGTTCATTATCCTTCTGCTAATCAACTTTATAGCAATTTTTCACCCCAGCCCTTTTTAATTTGCTTATTTGTTAATATACTTAATTTCTCTATTTTCATACAAATAAGCAAGTATTTCCCTTGTTAACATCCGTCATGGAGACTTCTTTCTCCTGGAGATGTGATAAATTTCCATTTGTTTTCCTTTTTTTTTAAAATTTTATTTATTTTTACTTTTTTTTCATTTATTTTTAGTAGTTGGAGGCTAATTACTTTATATCATTTGTTTTCAAGATCTCACATTTTAGATAAAACAGACATTTTGGTGTCCAGTGGGAGGAAAATGGACAAAATTAAATACCTAACACGGTGTTTCCCCAAGTGAGCTCTATAAACTAAGAAGTCCTGCAAAATATTCTAATTTGGTTTCATTTCGTACACAAAAAACATATACAGTTCTCTTGATTCATAACATATACTGTTATTTTAAAGAGGATCTACTATTAAAAACACACATACATGGGGTCGGAGATGGGAGGGCTGGTTCAGGAGGGAAGGGACATATGTATACCTGTGGCTGATTCATGTTGACGTATGGCAGAACCAACACAATATTGTAAAGCAATTATTCTCCAATAAAAACATACACAGATACACACACAATTTTAACCTCAAATTTCCCAGGCTGACTGGGTTTACAAACACTTCTCCTTTGATGTCCATTATCATCATGTTCTGCGGAATGCAATTTGCAAAATGCTGTTCTAAGAACAGCACTAAGAACCTGTTGCTTCAGTATTACTAGAAGTGGTTACCTCCCAAATTGTTATACCTTTATTCAAAATTTTATCAAAATTAAGTCTACATATAAAGTGTTTATTTATAGGTTCCACATTATCATATTCATCAGCCTAGTATGAGATAATGACTGTGTTTAAAACTGCTTCAATATTAGGCAGGGCTGGTTTTCCTTCACATTTCTTCTTTGTTAAAACTTTCCGATTTATCCTTTACCTATTTATTCTTCCAAATAAATTTGAGAGTTTTTGGGCCAAGTCCTATTTTATTTCTCTTCTGTTCTTCATCCTCAGGTCTCATGCATTTTTCTGATAAGAACATTTCTGCTTTATATGTTTTACAGGTATTAAGTATATATTTTCATATCTGACTATTCTTGATATATATCACATATATATATAAATAAATATTTGTGTGTGTGTGCCTGTATATCACTTGTTTTTTGCAAGTATATTATATACTTCTGTTGTTAAATGATAAAAATAAGAACTCAACAATGTTTTTAGGTGTCTCCTCAGGATTTTACAATTATCAGTAAATTATTTTCTTTCCTTCTATATTTTACCTTTGATTTTTATTTCATGTCAAATGATGATACCTAGCATATTTATTTTATTCTTTTTGTCTGGAACGTACCTTCACTCTAGAATCTAGCTGCACTGTTTGGTATAAGGTACACTCTTCCACTGAAGGAACCTATTTAGAAGAGTAAAGTACTAGGAGTCTTGGTCTGAAGAATAAAATCACCTTATTACTCCATCAAGGAAGTATAATTTTCAGTACCTGAAACTAGACAATGATGGTATATAATCTTTAACTTTGATGAAATGTGTCTAAGACTAAAATAATATTTAGTTGATGTTAAAGAAATTCAATCTTAATTTTACTATCTGTATATATTTCTGAGAGGCAGTAAATTAGTTAAAAACTACCTTGAAAAAAACTCAACCCCCCTCCCCCAAACTCAAGGTATTATCATATTGTAAATTTCTAGATGTAAAGTCTATCCTGGGGTAGCAATACAAATGTGATATATATGAAATTTATGTTGTTTCTGTCAATAAGATGTGGCACAGTATATTCATATTAAAAACAAGTCCTTGCAGCAAAAACATGAACTCAAAGCTTTCAGGGTTTTCTTGCATGGATGACAAAACAGGCCATACAAAAATCAAATCAAAAGCAAATGTATTCCACAGCAAAGAACAGCATTTCAAAGTGACATATATTTAATATACAAACACAGGTGATTTTACAGTGAGAAAAAAGGTTTGCATTGTAAAAAAAAAAAAAACCCTCCATTTTTATAAATTGGGATCGACATATACACACTACTATATATAAAATAGATGAACTACTCTGTAATGATTTATGCGGGAAAAGAAACTATACTGGGTATATATATATGTGTAACGGATTCACTCTGCTGTACATCTGAAACTAACACAACACTGTAAACCAATTATACTCCCCTCCCCTCTCCCAAAGGGCTGCCCTTGTGGCTCAGCTGGTAAAGGATCCGCCTGCAATGCAGGAGACCTGGGTTCGATCCCGAAGCTGGGAAGATCCCCTGGAGAAGGCAACAGCTACTCACTGCAGTATTCTGGCCTGGAGAATTCCATGGACTGTATAGTCCATGGGGTCACAGAGTCTGACACGACTGAGTCATTTTCACTTACGTTTCTCCTCCAAAAAAAAAGAGTGACTAAGTAGACCTTGGCTATTTCTTAATTAACTTTTATGCTTTTTTAAAAGTATATAAAGCTTTGCATGACTTTAAAATGTAAACTCAGGATTCAAAATCATTCTGTTCAGAGGCACATATATCTTTTAATAGTACTTCCTATATTACCTAACATTAGTCAGAATAATCTCCCAAACTTCATGTGAAGATCAGGCATTCTATATTTATCCATTAGAGATTTCTTATTTTAAGATGATGAAAAGACCTGACTTTTTTTTCCCCCACAAACAACAAAGAGCCAAAATGAGTTACTTCAAGAAAGGGTTAGCATTAAGAATATGCTGTATGTATTAAAGAAATATATTTATTAAAATTAACTCATATTCTGAATACAGTATAAACTAATGAATGGCAATGGTACAAAAATTCAAGTGGCAAATTATCTGACAATATTTGTGTTTTTCAGAAAGTGTCTCATTTCATTTTTAACCTTTCTGTGCAGGAGAAAGAAAACATGTGGTGGATATATACTTTTGAGCATAATCTAGGAAGTACAGCAGTTTTTGTATTAAATAATAATGAAAACATGAATTTTATTAGCCCTCTTTCATTTAAAATTTTAAATGTGTTAAAAATGTCAAGCAAAGGGCTGAAATTAAAAAAAAAACACAAAGGGTATATTTAATTAAGTTCATGTAGTACCAATACTTAAAAGAATCAGAAAACTGATGAGGAGAAAACGTTTAGCTCACAGATGATTCTAAATTTGTTCTAAGATTTCACTGTTTGTTTATTAACAAATCCTGGAGAAAATTTTGAGAATTAAATTGGCTGAATTCTCTGTATGTTCAGAAAATATCCTATCATTTGTTAACCCAATTAGAAAATTACAAATCCCAAACAGCTTTACAACTAGAGAAGACAGGGTGTGGAGAAGAGATGGGAATAAATGTTTAGGGGAAAAAAACTCTAGAGATTCTAGAAAATCTTGGAAAGCTAGCTTGAAAATCTTGCTTGGAAAGCTAGCAAACTCGGCAGGATGTTCATAAGAAAACACAAAATGTGTTTCTTCTTAATAGCATGGATGACAAAACAGGCCATACAAAAATCAAATCAAAAGCAAATGTATTCCACAGCAAAGAACAGCATTTCAAAGTGACATATATTTAATATACAAACACAGGTGATTTTACAGTGAGAAAAAAGGTTTGCATTGTAAAAAAAAAAAACCCTCCATTTTTATAAATTGGGATCGACATATACACACTACTATATATAAAATAGATGAACGACTCTGTAATGATTTATGCGGGAAAAGAAACTATACTGGGTATATATATATGTGTAACGGATTCACTCTGCTGTACATCTGAAACTAACACAACACTGTAAACCAATTATACTCCCCTCCCCTCTCCCAAAGGGCTGCCCTTGTGGCTCAGCTGGTAAAGGATCCGCCTGCAATGCAGGAGACCTGGGTTCGATCCCGAAGCTGGGAAGATCCCCTGGAGAAGGCAACAGCTACTCACTGCAGTATTCTGGCCTGGAGAATTCCATGGACTGTATAGTCCATGGGGTCACAGAGTCTGACACGACTGAGTCATTTTCACTTACGTTTCTCCTCCAAAAAAAAAGAGTGACTAAGTAGACCTTGGCTATTTCTTAATTAACTTTTATGCTTTTTTAAAAGTATATAAAGCTTTGCATGCCTTTAAAATGTAAACTCAGGATTCAAAATCATTCTGTTCAGAGGCACATATATCTTTTAATAGTACTTCCTATATTACCTAACATTAGTCAGAATAATCTCCCAAACTTCATGTGAAGATCAGGCATTCTATATTTATCCATTAGAGATTTCTTATTTTAAGATGATGAAAAGACCTGACTTTTTTTTCCCCCACAAACAACAAAGAGCCAAAATGAGTTACTTCAAGAAAGGGTTAACATTAAGAATATGCTGTATGTATTAAAGAAATATATTTATTAAAATTAACTCATATTCTGAATACAGTATAAACTAATGAATGGCAATGGTACAAAAATTCAAGTGGCAAATTATCTGACAATATTTGTGTTTTTCAGAAAGTGTCTCATTTCATTTTTAACCTTTCTGTGCAGGAGAAAGAAAACATGTGGTGGATATATACTTTTGAGCATAATCTAGGAAGTACAGCAGTTTTTGTATTA